AGGAGAAATGGAACCTCAACTTCTGGACTCCATGGGTAGCCAAGCCACCAGACTTTGAGGCTAAGATGTTTGGTACTTCCTCCTGTGGATCAGGATTGGCCCCATGGGTGCAGGGAGAGGAGGGGTGCTGAAGCTGGGGGCCTTACTTGACCTAAAAGGCATAGCCAGGGATCCGCCTCTGCTCAGGTCTCGGGAAGCTGTGATGAGGCTGCTTTGGGTTGCCCTGCTTAGTGCAGAGAACTAATCTCCCCTTTGAATGACATTCGAGAGAGAAAGCATTGAGTTGCTCTCCTTAGAGATGGGGGTAAAGAAGACACTCCTGTTGAGATAAAACCATGACATAAAGAAATCATTTAATTTTATGCTCCAGGGAAGTAAAAGTATGTTTATTGTTTTATTAGTAAAAATATTTGGGGCATTTCTAGTGGATTACTCACCATCTTTAGTAAGCAATTATCCTTCATCTTCACTTTATTATGATGAGTAGTTATAATATGACAAATATAGGGTATTTTTTTAAAAAAAACACATCTTGGTATTCTAAAAAGTGCTTTATTAATACAAAGGATCAATAACACATGGGGTTGAATATGTTGTTTGAAGCTGTTGTAATTATAGGGTTCTTGACTCTTTCCTCTGTTTCAAAACTAATTTTATGATCAACTTATTTAAAATACTGAGGACATCTACTTCCCTCAGTTATAAAAATAATAACTAACATTTATATAGAGCTCACAATTTACAAAGTATTTGTAGAACTATTTCTATGATTTGCATAATTAGCCTGTGATATAAAGTAACTGAGGTTCAGATTAATCAATTTAAATAAAGTCTATACTTAGGGTTAAAACTGTGCCATCAAGACAAGTAGACTGCTGTCAGTCCTTGGTATTTTTGTGAAGTCTTAGGGGAGAAAGAGAAAGAATCTTGTTCTGTGAACTCCTGAAAGTAACTATCCAAGGAGCTGGTCCATTTCTGTCAGAAACTACTTTTTGAAGCATAAGATAATATTTGAAGTCTGCAGATCAATTTGCACCAATAGTATTTATATTACACTATTTTAAAAAGTTGATTCATTGAGAAAAGTGCCTCAATCAGTGCTGACATATAAGTATTTATGTCATATTCTTGTTGGAAAATTGCTGACTAAAAATTTAAGGAAATTTTGTTCTGTTGTTCGACACAATACATTTCATCAGGGGCAGGCTCTAAATCCTTGCTTCTTCTCGGTACATGTGTGTGTGTGTGTGTGTGTGTGTGTGTGTGTGTTCCCAAGCACNTTGTTCTGTTGTTCGACACAATACATTTCATCAGGGGCAGGCTCTAAATCCTTGCCTCTTCTCGGTACATGTGTGTGTGTGTGTGTGTGTGTGTGTGTTCCCAAGCATACAGAGCTAAGGCGATTTTTTTCGTGGCCTGAGGCCCACCTATATTTTTTTTAAGTCCATTAAAGTATAAGCTCAGAGGGCAACGATTAAAAGTATAGATTTAGAGCCATATTATTTAGTTCCTAATCCCAGCTCTTCTACTTATTACCTGTGTGGACTTGGTCACGTTGTGGGCCCTCTCTATGCCTCAGTTTCTCCTTCTGTGAAGTGTGGAGACGGCGGTCGTGTCAGCCGCACAGAGGCGGGGTGAGGAATCCGAGCAGCGGTGTTTCGGGCATGTAGAACAGCACCTGCTACATACTGAGCACAGTGTATTAGCTTCCATTATTTTTATCTTTATTGTTATCATTTTCTGGTATCCACGGCAGCCCTAATCAAACATCCCACCAGCTCAGTATGTCCCTGTGAGGAAGCGAGACGGGCGCGGGGGCCGCAGATAAACGGCCTTCGCGGGGAAACTCGCAGTTTGAACAGGCGTGTGATGGATTCTGCTGTCTTGCCGTCAGCGCTGGTCAGGCGCCCTGTCGCTCTGGTGCCACCTGAACGTGGAACTCTAAGTGGCGTGCAGGGCTTCCGAGCTACACCTTGAGGGGCACAGGGCTCCCTTCAACTGGGGTTCCAAAAACTATTCTGGAGGTTGCCATTGCCCTTGCCCTGCAGCTTGACAGCCAGCGTGAGGCAGGGAGCGTGGCACTGGCCCTTTGCTCCTGCAGCAAGGCCAGGCAGGGTGCTCCTCCTCGCGTGGGTGGCACCCTCAGCCCAGCCTCCCCTGCTCTAGGGTTGATTTTGAAACTCAGGGGTCTCATCCTGCAGACCATGGCTCTTGGTCATCCCAGCCAAGCCTTTTCAGAATTCCAAAGAATCAAAGCAACAGCACTGGGTGTCTGGAGCACATACCTCTCGCCAATCCAAAGCACTTTGCTCTTAGACTTTTGTGTCTGCTGCAAATCCATTCAGAAATGTAGCCAGCTCCCCTGAAGCAAGGCACACCGCTGGGAGCAGAGCCATAAGATAAACAGAACCCACTAGGAGGAAGGGTTACAGGGATGGAAAAACGTATCTGTTAAATTTTCAAATATAGGCTCTCACTTCGAGGATTTTAGACACCAATTTTAGGGCACCTAGACATTTTTAAAACATCCCCTTCAAATCATACCTTGCAATACAGGAGACCATCAATGGTGTTCCTGCTGACTCTGAGGACAAAAGTAGCTATTTTTAGCTTCTGAGGTTTGTAAAATACACACAGGGAGCTTGGGGGTAAGTGCCAGGCATGGCTGGAGTTTCTCACAAAAGCCCTGTAGGATCTGCCGTTGTCTGTGAATCACCAGCGCTCCAGGTGCCACTGCCCTTTGTTGGCATGGCCTGTGCCAGGGAGGCGGGTTGCCCTGGCTGCTGCAGTGCCCTCTGAAGCTACATCAAACGCACCAGAATGAAATGTTTGGAAAGCTGATGCTTGTTAAGCCATCAGGAGAGGAGCCATCAGGAGACATAATCCAGAGGAGGCGGAGAGGAGAGGAAAGCAACTTTCAGCAATGTTATCACAGGACAGCCAAGAGAACTGCCTGTCACAGTCACTGTGCCCACAGAGCTGACACCTCAGATGCGAGCCAAGGAGCCTCAAAATCCTCTCTCTCCGAAAGAACAACACCCCGCCCCCCAACTGGAAGCACTTCTGACAAATAAAATGCCAGAGGAAAACGCTGTCACTTTTCCCTTTTTAAATCATAAATTACCCTCGTTTCCTGGAAAAGAATGTCTGCCCCCTGGAAAAAACAGATCTGCTCTTTGAGAAGCTTGCTGGAAGATGTAAAAAAAAAAAAGTCCTAACCGTTCAGACTTCCAGAATGTAGGGGTGAAAATTGCCACGGGTGATCAATGAATGCCTGCTCTGGGGGGCAGACCCTGCGAGGGCGAGCTGGCGGACGCCCTAGAAAGAGCCCTTTCTCATTGTGAGAAAGCCCTTCCTGGCAAAGCCACAAAAAGGAAAATTATGGCAATCAATACAGATCACCATGAACACCGGATGAAGCTTTCAGCCAGACCGGCCTCCACTTCTGCTAGAATGGATTAACTTTGGAGTGCTGATATCAGCACAATTTGCAGATTCAGGACATTGAATACGGGAGTCAAAATCGGGCAGACATTTAATTGCAACTATAGCAGACCCATGACATTCACCAGGGTAACACGGCCTCTCGCACTTGCCAACTTCTCCCATAATTGAGCTGCATTTGGAAAATCAGCTTCATCCGTCCTAGCGACTTGTACACACCTTGGCTCTGCGTGGCCTCTCTTGATATGTTTGATACATTTAACAACTAGTCTCTAGATGTACTGTCGAGGCTTTGAAAGAATTCACAGGGAAGCTTCCTGTAAGGAAATCTGCCTATCCAAGTTCAAGGTCAGTGGGGTGAGTCCTGTGGAATTTACCAGAGAACAGATAGAATCCAGAAAACGAAGCCCGGCCTCAGGATTCTCAGCCAAACAGCCGTGTGATGGGAAGCACACTGCCCGTCTCTGCCAAAACGTCCACACCTAACCCCGGGAGACTGTGGATGTGGTACCTTACAGGGCAAGAGGGAGCTGACAGGTGTGGTTAAATTAAGGATCTTGAGATGGGGATAGTGTCCTGGATGATCCAGGTGGGCCCAGTATAACCAAAGGGTCCTTATAAGAGGGAAGCGAGAGGGAGGCAGAGGAAGAAATGTGAAAATGGGAGCTGGGGTCATAATGATACGATTGCTGAAAGGGGGTCACAAGATAGGAATTGTGGCATCTTTTAGACGCCAGAAAAGGCAAGGAATGAATTCTACCCGGGAGCTTCCAGAAGGAATGCAGCCCTGCCTACACTTTGGTATTAGCCCAGTGAAGTCTGTGTTACAGTTCTGCCCTTCGGAGCTGTGCGGGGATACATTTGTGGTGGTCCAAGGCACTCAGTGTAGGGAATTTGTGAGCAGCAATGGCAAACTGCTACAACCAGCGACATTCCTCTTTAACACGCTGTTTCTTCTCATTTTCTCTTTCAACATCAAATGAAACATCCAGTGATCTTTTTTCTCTCTTTTAAGGACAACTCCCTAACCTCATTCACTGTCACCTGCCAGGTGTGATAGATAACGCCTATTAGGAGAATTTGCATTTCCAAACGGCACCAGGGAGAAGCTGTTTTCTATAGAAAGAGAGCTGATGTTGAGTAACTACTTAGGCCTGGGCACCATCACAGGTCCCCTCAATCATTTTGTGACTGAGGGTACCAAGGTTCAGAAACAGCAAATAACTTATTTTGTGATTGAGTCACCAAAGGTGGGACTGGAGCCCACGTCTCTATGACTCCAAAATTCAAAAGTTCTTTCCATTAGAACATGTTGCTTCTAATTTACTTATATAGAACAACTGCAATGCTAACAGCAAGGTGTTTGCATCAATTTGGATGAAGGAGTCATTTGAGAAGCAGGGGCCACTCCCTGGAAAGTTAAGGGTGAGGGGACAATTTGACTCGGGGGGAGACTTTTTCCATAGGTCGTTTGGATTCACTGCTGTTTCCTCTCAGGGACAAAACCAGTCGACGGTGTGTGTCACCATTTCTAATTATTTTAAATCTCCTTGTAGGAGTATTTGCGTTTGGGCTTTTTGCTACTGACATTTTTGTAAACGCTGGACAAGTAGTCACTGGGCACCTGACGCCATACTTCTTGACGGTGTGCAAGCCCAACTACACCAGTGCGGACTGCCGGGCCCACCAGCAGTTCATAAACAATGGGAACATTTGTACTGGGGACCTGGAAGTGATCGAAAAGGCTCGGAGATCCTTTCCCTCCAAGCACGCCGCTCTGAGCGTTTACTCCGCCTTATATGCCACGGTGAGTATGCAAGCGAGTCTTGCCGTCTCTCCCAAGTTGAGCTCTGGCTGGGATGCGTGTCTTTCTGCCCTCTTCACCCCCATTGGCTCGTCACTGTCACTTAAAGTGATTTTTAAAGTCTTGTTACAGCATCTTTCTCCTATGTAATACAGTGCTGTTCCCCTCACCCCTAAAATCTCAATGCAATATCCTGAGCTGCCAGAGGATGTTAGTTCTGGAAAGAATGTTGGTAATCACTTAGTCAAATCTTCCCATTTTACTGATGCAGAAACTGAGGCCCGAGAATAGCTAAGCACACACAGGCCTGGTACCCAGGCTTCTGGCTTTGTGTTGGATTCTCACTGCCCACAGCAGTGCTCGTTGCCAGTTTTGGTTGGTTGCAGACGGGCACGCGTTCCTCACGCCTGCCTACAAATCTGCAGGCGCGGGCGGTAGGTGAAGGGCGGCCCTGCAGTGCACGCACCTGGGGAAAGCCACGGCTTGCTTCCGCCCTTCCTGACACTCCTCCACTGCTTTGCCGGCACAGATGGCTGACCCGGCATGATCCCCAACACCCAAAGCTCCCCAGATCACACAGGCTTTGGTGCCCCGGCTAAGCTAGATTGTTTTTCAATTTTTAGCTCTTATCACAGAGAAAACCTAAAGTGCAACCCACATCTTAAAATATAAGAAGAAACGATGGTATCCCTCTTATTTTTTTTTCTACCCCTTAATTGCATCCATTTGGGAAATGATCTCATTTCACCTTTCTCTGGCCTGTGCTTCTATGGGGGCTAAACTCTCCCTCCCACCTTCTAAGTTATTCTGGGCTAATTATCCAATTAACAGAGACAGAGTAACAAGAGAAAAATCAAAGTTCAATATATGTCCTTGGGGGGGTGTGCACATAGGCATGATCATTCCATAAAATTCCAAAAACAATGAAACAGCATTGGGTATGTGAGACATTTCTGGACAAAGAAGAAAGGTGGGGAACAGGGTGTTGGATTTCAGGAGTGAGAAAGGGTGAGTTACAGGTAGTTGAGGGGAAGAGGAACACACACGGCGGGAAAATCCTCGCTAGGCAACTGGGAAACTGTGGGACCCGGGGTATCTAGCTAACAGGCTCTGCCTGAAGCCTCTTGTTTACCACACTTAATTCAAATTAGGCGAAGGCCAGGATCTCCTTCCTGAAGCACGTTTCTCTGTCTGAATCTCTTGGGCAGGAAAGCGGGGAGGTTCACAGATTCTTTCCCAGTCCTGTTTCTTAATAAACAGCTTAAAATCAATATCCCAGCCCGGCCAGGTGTGGCTCAGCGGTTGAGCATCGACCTAGGATCCAGGAGATCAGGGTTCGATTCCTGGTCAGGGCACATGCCCAGGTTGCAGGCTCGATCCCCAGCAGGGGGCGTGCAGGGGGCAGCCGATCAATGACTCTCTCATCATTGATGGTTCTCTCTCTCTCCCCCCTTCCTTTCTCTGAAATCAATATATATTAAAAAAGAGCAACAAAAAAAACTTGTTTAATGGCCCGTACATAATCTGTGTACTTTAAAAAAAATAATAAAAAAATCAATATCCCAAAAAGGCAGCTTCAGGGTGGAAAAACTTTGGCCCCTTCACTTTCATAGAGCTGAGAGCTGGGGCGCAAAGGCTGGATATCATGCAGTTACTGTGGAAGCACAACTGTTGGTGGAAAACGCCCCTTTTCCTTCTGTGAATTTTACGTTCAGGATATGACTGGTCTGGTGATTCTCAATGAAAGGTAAGGGAAAGAGAAGACCGAAGAAAGCCCCCTTCCAAACTGTCCATTCTTCCCAGGGATTCTGAAGACCCCCCCACCCCCCGGGGAGCATGTTCCCCTCCGCCTCCCCTGAGACTCTGCCTCTGATCAAAGTGTGTTCCCGTAATTACTCTGAATTACAGGCACTCAGGGCGGAAAAGAGGTGGCTGACTACCAGTCTGGTCTCTTTAGTAGACTTTAAAATAAATTGCTAAATATCCTCCTTAAAACAACGGTTCCTTTGTGTCCTGTTTACTGGATCACATCCATAGGACCAATTTGTCAACCACCAATTATCCAGAATGTCTTCCTAGTTATTCCTTTTAGATCTTCTCCATAATGAATATGTGATAAGTCATTTCAGCTGCCCCCACGTTAAGGAAACATGAACATAAATCATACAGAAGCCTCAATTTACAAAGCAGATCAATGAGGTTTCTTTGCTTAAAAAACAAAAAACTAGGCCAGGCATTTTTTTAAGCAAAGAAAGTCCTCTCAGGCACTCAGCATATTTTTTAATTTTCAAAATATTGACTTGCCTTAAATTATCTAGAACCTAAGTTATATGAAGCAATGTAATTTTTTAAAAATATTTTTGTTTCTTTTAGAGGGAGATGGAGAGGGAGAGAGAGAAACGTTGATGTGAGAGCCCGAAACCGCAGCATGTGCCCCGACTAGGAACCCTTTCAGTGCATAGGGCGATGCCCAGCCACCTGAGCCACACGAGCCAGGATGAAGCAATGTACTTTTGCACCTTTTTCTGTATTTTTATCAGACTCAAGTCATTGCTGTGTGAAATTAATGTTACACTACCATTATAAAATTAAATCTGTTACTCATAATAAACTACTCTCATCAAGTAAGATATAGACTTATTTGGGGGAGAAAGAAGTAAGTAGAGTCAGCTCACTCAGAATAGATGCAGCTATAGCATATTTCAGGGATTCAGATATAATTCCATTCAAATCATGCCTCACAATCATCAGGTATACCCTGATGCAAGATTCCAATTTTGCAGACATTTCTGAGCCCCTATTACGTGTGATGCTTTCAGAAATTACTCAACAAACATTTCCTAAGTACTAGTTAATACTGTGAAGAATACTAATTAACTGTAGGACTCATACTCTCATAGTTTGTAATTTAATAGGAAAGATTTATAAAGGTTATATTTAAAAAACAATATAGAAGCATAAAAAACGAAACTAAATATACCTAGTATAAATGTTACATAGCATTTCTTACACAGCCCAGAAAGGTGTTATAATCTGCTCTAGTTTATGTAGCTCCGATCTAACCACAGTTACCTGCTACATGCAATGAAGAGAGAGAGTCCCATCGTCCTGTATTCGCACCATGATGAAGCATCATCCTAAGAAATTAAAAGTTTCCATTGTAATACTGTAAAATGCATCTATTTGAACTTGTATGTGTTCAGGCCACACAAATACAGCACAGACTATAATTTGAGTATCAGCACACTATTTTTCAGGGTTGCAAACTCATTTATCATTTTTGTTAAAGAAATGATGGCTCAATAATGCCCTCTACTGGTTTCTTGTAACCATTACCAAAGGTGATCTAACAGCGTTTACTTACATGAAAGAGGCATATCTTTCTAACTAGGCCATAGGGACACATTTGATAACTGAGCCTATGAAACTTGACCCAGCTCCTAAAATGAAAACAGCCTACATATTACACCTGAAATTAACATAAAATAATATTGAATGTCAACTGTGATTGCAAAATAAAATTAAATGAAAAGAAGAACAGCCTACGTACATTTAGGCTTCATAAATTTCAGGTGTCATAAATTTAATCATTCTTTACTTAGTGCAGGTCTCCTAAATGTTTTGTATGTCGTGACACACAGATTTTTTTAATTTTAAAATACGCTGAAGTCAATGAACGGATAAAGCTGATCATGGTTGTCCCAAGAAATGCACAGATCAATTTCCCAGCACTACTGAATCTACTTGTGTCACACACTGGTTGGGAGGTTCCAATTCAGTCAATCAACTAATCAGTAAATGTTCTTGTCTTCATTGCTTAGAAGTGTGAAGAATCAGAAGTATGGGGGACGCAAAAACTAAAATGTACAGCTGTTCACCTACCTGGTCTTCTCCTCCATAAAATTCACTCTCATAGAAGGTTTATTTGGTATCTGAGAATCTTCTATGGGATTCCTAATACCCAAAATGGTGCTTTAATTGGTTGCATTAAAACTCTGTCTTCTGAATCTGATATTATTATGCAGTCATTCTTCATGTCACCGTAATTTCTGTTCACATATCCCCTACAATACAAAACACTGTGATTAATGGACATCTATCCATTGTTCTTGCTGCGCTCTTTTTCTACCCAAACTCTTTACCAAGTAGCCGAGGGGAGCTGTTCACCTGGTTACCGTGGCTGCTATGGCATAGCCCCTGTTTGCGTGTACGGTGTGTGCACATGTATGCATGGGTGTGCACCAGGTGAGGAGGGTCCAGTCACTCCCCAGTCTCTGTCCTGTTCCAGATGTACATCACAAGCACAATCAAGACGAAGAGCAGTCGACTGGCCAAGCCAGTGCTGTGCCTCGGGACCCTCTGCATGGCCTTCCTGACGGGCCTCAACCGGGTCTCCGAGTATAGGAACCACTGCTCCGATGTGATCGCAGGCTTCATCCTGGGCACTGCTGTGGCCCTGTTTCTGGTAGGTCAGCTTCCCCCTTCCAACTTTTTCCTTCTTGTGCCCTCTGAAAGGCTGCCCAAGACCCTGGGGAGTCAGGTTCCCAGACATCACAGTCTAAGATCATGTTCGTCTGGCCTCAAACTCGTGAGTTGCAATTATTGTCCAAGCATTATGCATCCTGTTGCTGCAAGAAGGATTCCTAAAGCTGCCCTTCTTTCAGAAATGCGTATTCGCCCTGGGGATTGGGGAGAGGAATGCCCAGGGAGAATGGTTTGCTCTACTTTCTTCAATACTGTGCTTGGGACTGGGACTGGGCAGACTAGTAATTTGCATACCTTCAAACCATTGCTCTAAAATATTTGTTCAGGATGTGTTGGGAGCAGAAGCTAAGTGTTGCTTAGGGGAAGAACAGAGAGCAGAGACCACTGGTGGAAGCAGGCAGCCCCTTCTCCAGCATCCCAAGAAACTCGGCTCTGGCCTAGACTTGCAAATCGCACTCAGAAAAATGAAAACCCTCAGCTAACCACACCTCAACTTTTCAGAAGGCCTCTGTTATTACCTGAACATGCCTTATTTCTGCTACAAGTGGCTTCTCAACCACATGTTATAATCTTCCTGGGGAAGAGTTGTGGTTAATGCAGTTCTCTCCATATGTTTACATTTCTGATGATATTTTAGTTTCTCAAATAAATGGGGGCCTAGCTACCTGCTCAACTAGGGAATCTCTTAATCTGAGTTGGATTGGAAGCAAAGAGGTTAATTTTTATTGTTTTTGTCTTTTTTTACAGTTTTATTGTGGTATGATAGGCATATTACAAATAGCGCATACAGTGTACAATTTGATCAGTTTTGACATACAGATAATCCTTCTTCCCACCCTCCCCTTCCCCTCATTCCCAAGCCACCACTGATCTCCCCATCACTCTATATTAGTTTGTCTTTCCTAGGATTTCATAGAAATAGAATCATATAGTATGTATTTTTTCTGGCACCTTTCACCCAGTGTAATTATTATGAGATTCATTCATGTTGTAGCATGTATCAATAATGTGTTCCTTTTTCTTGCTGTATAGCATTCCTTTGCATGGGCATACCATGGAGGTGCAGGGTTTTTGTTTGTTTTTTTAAAATATATCTTTATTGGTTTCAGAGAAAGGAAGGGAGAGGGAGAGAGAGAGAGAGAGAAACATCAACGATGAGGGAATCATTGATCGGCTGCCTCCTGCACGCCCCCTACTGGGGATCAAGCCCGAAACCCGGGCATGTGCCCTGACTGGGAATCGAACCTCTATCTCCTGGATCCTAGGTCAATGCTCAGCCGCTGAGCCACACCTAGCCAGGTGGTGCAGGTTTTTAATAATCATAAAAGATTCAAAATAGGCCCAAAAGGATTTACAGTAAATCACCAGGCCTGGAGATTCACATGTTGCCCATGAAGTGAATTACAATATTCAGCCAGCTTCCCCTCTGAGACTGAAGCCATCACAGTTCCTTTTGGACACCCATTTTGCCCTTTCTGGTCCAAAGCACTCATTAAGGCTGGCGTCTCACATAGAAGGATTTCACTGTCCTATGACCTCACTCCTCCTTGTCTTCCCCAACATACAAAATACACACATACCTCTCCCAACCACTAACACAGAGTTTCCCAGTGTTTTTACCTGCTAAGATACAGAAAATGCTCACATTTATTCAGAACACTGATTTGGAAACTCCATTCTAATTCAAATTTATTTTTAATGGATCTTGGCTTTTCTTCTATAGTGAAAGATGGACCTGAATGCAAATTGTCTAGGTGAAACTGCAGGAAAAGCGGTGCTGAGGTTGATCCTGAGGTGCTGATAGATGTCTCATAAGGGATATTTTCCTAAGATTGCTATTTTTAAAGAGGGAAAGACTAGAGATGACTTCAGAGAAGAGAGTTTTCAAAGAGACATCAACGGTGCCTAAATGAGAGGGCTCAAAGGGAAAGCCAACCAGTTTCGCTGTCCATCATCCTAGGGCCAGCCATCCCCAGCTGGAGAGAAAGAGAGTGTTGACTGTCCCAAGAAACTTGATGGGGCCCTTCCAGAGTGAAATCTATAAAATCCTTTGTGTTTGCTAAGGCCCCATATACAAATTCTGCTTTAACATTAAACTTGTTTTCTCTCAGTCACTCACAGCCCTGTTTCCTACCACTCAGTTACTATTGGGTCTATTATTGGCTTCTCAACTGATGGCAAATGTCAAAATTTGTTTTCCACAAATGATCTTTATGTAAGACTGAGACCTGCTATTGAGTTGCTCTGGCAGGAGACAGACCACACTGTATACATGTGCACGTGTACACACCTCACACACACACACACACACACACAGAGTAAGCTGGGATATGTGGGGGGTCATAGAAGAGACTTGGAGAGGAGACAGAGAAAAAGGGAGGAGAGTCGGAGAATCGGAGCACGCTTGCGGCATATGTTCACTATTGTTTTGTGTTTCCCGTGAAGATGAAAGTGGGAGAAAGAGGGGAGATTATTAGTTGAGCAATTACTACATACCCTACACTGTATGTACACCACAGCATGTGCTCCTAGGACAACCCTAACAGGATTCTTATCCTGATTTTAGAGATGAGGAAAGCAAGGCTCAAAGGTAAGTGACTTGCCCAATGGCCACTCAGCCAATAAGCCATGAATCTAACCTGAGTCTTTTCAACTCCAGAATCTCTTCAACTTCAACACCTCCCACTTCTCCCATTTCCTGAATGGAGGGAGTTTAAGCAGAGATGGAGGGAAGTAGAGAATATTTATGTAAATGTTCTGCAGGGTTTGAAGAAAGACAGGAAAGATTCAAGGGCACTGGATATAGAAACAAAGACACAGAACAATGGAAGAGAGAGTGTGGAAAGAAGCAGATAAACTCTCCATGGGCAAAAGAAGCAGAGCAGGTGGTAAAAACAGGCTAAGGTATGAAGAAGCCTCAGTAGGAAATAAAGAAAAGTGGGTAGTAATTTAGAAGGAAAGGTTTTTAACAGAAGCAATAAAAGAGAAGTGTCACTACTGAGTTATTTAACCTCAAGCAAATAGTGGCCACATCATTTAAGAATGATCATCTTAGGTGGGAGTTAAAGACTAGCTAACATTGAATGAATATTTGCTGTATGTTTGGCACTTGTTAAGAGGCAAAATATTATAGTGGTGTGTTCTCTGGAGTTTGAATCTCTCTATGACTTTAAGTTACCTAGCTTCTCTCTGCCTCCTTACCTAAGCTAGAGATGATCATAGTACCACCTTTCTTGTAAGATTGTTTAGAAGGTTGAATGAAATAAAGTAAAACTCTTAGGACAATGCCAGACACATAGTGGGCCTCAGTAAATGCTAGGTGTTATTATCAGGTGGTTTACCATCATGTCTTTTAATTGTTATGGATTTATGAGGTAGGTATTATATTACTCTCTTTTACAGGTCAGGAAACAGGCTCAGTGGGTGGATTGATTATCACTGGCCATCTGGTGATTAAACAGATGCTTCCTCAGCACTTAGAACCAGCTCAGCAGACACCTGGACCATGCCCCACCCACTAACTCAAAGGAAAAAAGGTCACTATGGCAATGACATTTAGGGGAAAGCCTGCCACCCTCAGAGATGGCCAGGCATTGATGGCTGTAGTCTGACCCAATCTTTTTACCCCTCATCCTGCAGGGAATGTGTGTGGTCCATAACTTTAAAGGAACACAAGGATCTCCTTCCAAACCCAAACCCGAGGATCCCCGTGGAGTACCCCTAATGGCTTTCCCAAGGATAGAGAGCCCTCTGGAAACCTTAAGCGCACAGGTACAGTAAAGCAGCGATAGCAAACCAGAACCACAGGCCCAGGCCTGTTTCTTTGGAGGTCAGCTAATCCATTCCTCGCCTTGAAAGCAGGGCTCCACTGCATCTATCCAGGAGTGGTAGAAGTCTGGTATGAAGACGCTCAGGAGCTTCAGAGCTTCCCTCAGTTAGTCCTGCGTTGGTTCTGAGGCTTGGCGATCCTGAGTTCTCGGGAAGTTCTCAGCTGCTTCAGGACACCTTGGTCTCCAATGTAACACCACAGTTAGGAAACCTGGGCCAGTTACATGGGAGGTCTATTTGATTTAGTAACTAGGACAATATTTGGAAAGAAAAAGGGTTTGTTACATCTAGTGACAGATGTCAACTAGAAGCACATTTAAAAGGTCATTAACAAAATAGATGTAGGTGTCCTTTTGGATCTGTTCTGATGACAACAATCAAAAATTCAATGCAACTGTACTTACAGATCACTAATTTACACCAGGACCTCTCTTTATACCAGGGATACCTAAAATAATTAGCCATACGATCCTTGCCCTCAGAGCACTCACAGATGGTTGGGAAAGGTGGATATCAATGAGTCATCATAATCTAGCATGCTGAATCTCAGGTCCAAGATTTGCTGTGTGAGCATAAATGAAGAAAAAATATCTCTTCTGCCTGAGAAGACAGGGAAAGCGGTGGAGAAGGCTTGCTAGCTGAAAGGAGCCCTGACAGATGGCATTGCTCACTCACTTTTACCTTAGACAGTTAGTTGCAAGGGGCTTTACAAACACATTTGAACAAAAACCTATTGAATCGATAGTTTCATGCCCAGGTTAAAGATAGGAATACTGAAGCTCTAGGTGTTAAATTACTCACCAAGGCCGCATAGCTGGCATATTAGAGAGCTGGATGGGTAGTTCTTTAAGCAGACAGAGAGAGAGTGGCTAATAATAAAACAGAGCTTTTGTTATCATGCCACTTTTTTCAGGTAGCTGAGTTCTGCTAACTGTTTATTTTCAGTAACAATCTGTTTAGCTTGAAATCTTGTTTGTATTTGGCATTTTCTTACTAAACCATTTGTGTAGGTCCCTCAAAGGAAAAACAGGTCACCTCCCCCTGGAATTAGCATGTAGTATAAAAATATTTTTCACTATTTCATTTAAAGATTATTAACCATCAGAGATCTCTCTAAGACAACTATCCTATTTAATTCTATCACTAAACCAGAAGAAAGGCCCAATAAAGCTATCTCCATCTTGGGAAAAATATTTAAGTCCCTCCATTAAGTCCAGTGCTAAGTACTTTGTTTATTTTCCCTTAACCTGTATTAAGATGAGATTTCTGACGTGGTCTAATTAGAAATAATGTACTGAAAAGTGTCTTCCTGGTTTATTTATGTATAGCCCGTTGGTGCAGGTAGAATGGCAGATTAGCTTAAATAATGATACCTTGTCATGAAATGGTGACATAGTCCCTCCCTAGTTTTCCTTCCCTAATGTTTCTGTACCTGGAGACGTCAGAGTGGTTCCCTCTATTTTTGAGGTGAAGCAACTAAAGACAAAGGTCGTCAGAGTGGTTCCCTCTATTTTTGAGGTGAAGCAACTAAAGACAAAGGTCAGTTTGAAAAGCAAACTGAAGTATTTGCTGAGTTCCACAAACATGTCACTCTCTGTGTCCTCATAAATGCTGTTTACTTCGCCCCGAACACCCCGTCCAAGGCCCCGTCGCCCCCACCCTGCCCTTCCTCGCTTCCCTCCGTCCGCAGCCTTCTCCAGATTGCTTCTCCCTCCTTCAGCACCAGGAATAGCTAGCTGACCAGCCCACCACACAACCAGGCCACATTTGGGGGTATTCCACTTATGTCGAAAAATGAAGTGCCAAACAGGGTTGCAAAAGCCGCTATTCACATGATAGAGTTAAAAAATTCTTTTAAATAATATATTGATTTACTGTTCACAATAGGCAGTAACAGGACTTCTTTCAAATTTGTTCACATATCTTTGTATCCATGGAGATCACCTCATTTGGATACAATCTGAGGCCTTTTCTGAATACCAGGCTTGGGCCAGAGGACCCTGAGGGCCCCTCTGTAATTGCCCCTCACACTGAAAGCCAAGAATGCCCCCTCCTATCTGCCTCTCCCCACCCCGGGGACTTAGAGATCTTTGAGGATCTGAACTCTATCTTCCTTGGGACCGACTAGGTGTGAAATAATGTTTGGTAAATAGACAGATACAGGCCAGAAGCAAAGCCTGAACTAGACACGAGTCAAAACCAAGACCCTAAAATACGACCATAGTCACTCTCTGAACCTCGATGGAAACTAGAGATTTATGAGCAACAATGAACAGGACTTCTGCAGGCTAGCCCAAGTGAAGCTACTGGAAGCTGGATGGAAGCTGTCACCTCTCAGGTGAGGCCTTCCATACCAACTGTGGAAGATTCGAGGAACCACCCGCCTGCTATTAGTGTCACAGGTTTCCGCAGGGTCAGTTAGGAGAATATGCCCTTTTTGTGTCGGTCAAGGAAAGAAATTTGGCGTTTATTATGAGCCATCACATCCAGTCTCCCAAGAACCCTGCAACTGGCATCATTGTTCTCTTTGATAAAGTAAGTAAAGCACAAAGAGTTTAAGTCATATGCCCAAGGTCACCGAGTCAACATTGAAACACGGGCCATCTACTTCTAAAGGCCCTGTTTGCTGCATGACTCGGCCTGACATTTCACTCAAGGGAAATTTCATTTTGAAATCTGCAGCTCTCAGCACTGGAAATGGAAACGCGCCATAGGGGGTAGTGCATTTGCACTGAGCTGCACGGCCGGAGAATTAACTGAGCTACAGCCCTCCCCAAATAGATACGGATGCCCTGTTTTTCCCCTGCGGGCAAGAGCGCCCCTGTGCAACTCCTACAGCCCTGGTTTCTATTGGAAGCTGCTCCTTTGTCATTCCCAGAGAGCCATCTTCCCAGGAGGGGGACCGTGGGGATCTGAGAGGAGATCTGAACCTCTCTTCAGAGCACACATTCACATCCGTGACATCCGTCCCATTGTGCAGAATACCTCAAGGGCACGAGAAGACTGTCGGGTGGGGAGCGTACCCAGTCACCGTCCTTTCCTTCCTCCTGAGACTTTCTTTCCCTTGGCCAAGTAGAGCCCCCAGAGCTAAGTGTTCTTTCTCCTCTAAAACATCAACTCAAATTGCAATACCTGCCTTCTGCGATTCCCCTTAGTTGGCATGATGGAAACAAGGTATATTTTTCTAAAGTCTTTCCCAAGTAGTAAAGAGAAACCAAAAAGTACATAATTACAGAATGCAAACAAAACAAAAATGGTCAAGTTTCCAAAGCATTATTCTGGGGTCCTGTAGAGTTACTGTGACCCTAATGACACTGGCTTCAAGCCAGCCACTGCTGCATCTCCACGCCCACATTCCCCAGAGAAATCAAGCTCAGCGCTGAGCAACTTGTCTCCACGTCAAACACAGTTTATATTAACGAAGAAACGAGAGGTGAAACAATTGTGTTAATTCACTCTGGGTGTGGTATAAAGTCTTCTCATATCTCCAGAGGGGGAAAGAAGACTTTTATTTTCTTTAACACACACACACACACACACACACACGAAGACTTATTTTCTTTAATGCACACACACAAGCATCTAATCTATGCTGAGACCCAGATGTCTGGAACCTCATTCCAGGAGATTCTAATTTCAGCAGTTCTGGGGTGAAAAGATGATATTTAAGAAAAAATACCCAGAGGGATTCTAATGGCCCCCTTCCTGCAAAACTAGTGATATCATAGACATCATATTCTAAATAGAAAAAAAGACTTGGAGAGTTAAGGAAACCTGCCCAAAGTAACCCATTTGCTTACCTTAGAGTGTTGAATTACCAGTTAATCTTTACCTCTTACTCTTAAATGGAATCTCACAAACATTTAAATGACCCTAGTATTAACCAAAAAACAATTTTCAAAAAGAAAGCATACCATAAAACTAGAAACATCAAAGGAGCACTTATTTTTCACATTATGGCAAAATTGCATCAAACCTTAGTTTTTACAAATAAATACCTTGAAAAATACAGAATTCATAGTTGAGCTTTCAAACAGGAATCAAGAAGCCTGTAATAATTAATTGGAGCTATAGCCACAGTTTCTTAAGGCATTTGCCAATTCTATGGATGGGGGGGGGTAAGTTCAAACAAAAGAGAAAGCTTTGGGCCTTCAAAAGGTGGGGGTAATGCAGTTGACCTTTGATCAATACAGGGGTTGGGGAGCTGACCCCCCACAGAGTTGAAAAATCTATAACTTTTGACTCCCCCAAACTTAACTACTAATACTCTACTATTAGTGGAAGCCTTACCAATCATAAACTGTCAATTAACACATATTTTGTATGTTCTATGTATTGTATACTGTATTCTTATAAAAGTAAGCTAGAGAAAAGAAAATGTTAATAAGAAAACCATAAAGGATGAGAAAATATATTTATAGTATTTACTGGGGGGAAAAAACCTGCTTATAAGTAGATCCACACAGTTCAAGCCCATGTTATTCAAGGGTCAACTGTACATATAAATTATATAAACAAAAGAGACAGGGTTATATAAACAAGCCATATAAACAAAAATTGATAGAATTACAAGGAAAAATGGAAAAAAGCTGTAATCATAACAGGAGATTTTAACACGTTTCTCTCTTTAATTAATAAACAAACAAAATATAGTAAGGACATCAATGATTAATAAGATTGATCTAATGTACATTATATATAATCCTTCTCAAAACACATGAAAACAGATCATGTACAAACTCAAAAGCAAATCTCAAGAAATCTTAAAGAATCTATGTTATACAGACCACAATCTCTAGAAAAAAATTTCAAAGGTACCTAAAACAAAAACAAAAAAAACCCCTATACATTTGAAAATATTAAATTCATTTTTCTATAACTCATGAGTCAAAGAATAAATAATATGAAAATTTTTCAAAAATTAGAATTTTTCAATATTAAAAACATTACCTTATCAAAGATGTGGAATACAACTAAAATTACTTTGAGGTCCTAAATGTTATTATTGGAATATAGTTGAATAAGTATAATATAAAGCAGAATTATATAGAGAACAAATTTAGATGAGAAAATAATCTAATTTGGGTTGAAAAATGAGAGAATATTTGCCAGGAGAGGTAACAATTTAAGAGGCCTTGGAAGAGCATATCAAAGACAGGGAACAGCCTGTGCAAACTCGAGGAGACAGGAAGCAAGGGGTATTCAGGAAAAAGTGAGTGTGTGCCTGTGGGTGTCAGTAAATACCCGACTCTAAGACTTGATCTGCTTGTGTTTGCAGAATCACTCCGCTTCCATGACCGAAGTCACCTGAGATGGCTGATGCGTCGCAAGCTGTTTTTTTTTTTTAATCACCCTCCAATTCGATACTTCAAGACACACAGTTACTGGATGTCAAACTGTGAAGACAAGTATTATGTTTATCTAGTTAGAGGCTAATGTTTTGTACATTTTTGTATGAAGAAGTGATGTAGCTTGCCCTGACTTTTTTTTTTCTTTTGGTCAGCTTTAATATATTTATGCCAGAATTTCAAACCAACAAAATTCTCTTCTTGTTCAAGTGTGCATTGAAGAACCACATTTATTCAATGATTAATGTTGTTTTGTGATATTTGTACACAAACCTTTTCTCAGTTTTATAGACACAGAGATAAAATTAATATTAACAATTCACTTTAACCTTTTATTACCACAGTTGCTGCCTCCTCCAGAATTTTTGAATATTAATGAAAGTTAACTTTTGAGTTGCAGGGAGGACAATGTTGGTTAATGGCAAATCTCAAAATCAATTGTACAGGAAGAAATATTACTTTCATAAATAACTTTGTCTTCTGATCTAACCTGTCATTGCATTCTAAGTTAAAGGAATATATTAATGAAGTCACCTAGTTACACAAGCAGTTGGAAGAAAATCCTAAATTTGAGGGGTATTGGATTATAGGATTCTTTCTCAGACGGTGGTCTCTCCCGTCTAAGAAACTCAAGATGATTCTGGAACTATGTCCTTGGTCAGGCAGGTCACACTGCAGCCTTCTTTCCAAAAAGCAGCCAGCACCAGCCTCCCCTGTCAACTCAACAGTTTTGTATATCATATTGAATGGACTTTATATGAAAATGAATATTTTACAGTTTGCACAGTGTTATTTTACAGAAAGGGTATCTAAGCATCTACAGCTCAGAGCCCAGAGCCACAGCTTGACTTTGTGGCTTTTAATTGTTCTAGAATTTTAACTGCATCTCATTTTTCTAGCATGGTGATAACCGACGTGTAACTCCTCGATGAAAGGAGCTCCCTTGTCTGTACCTATCCGAATGTTTTCTTGACACTTCCATGTTGGCTCTTCTTACCTTTTTTTGTACATATTTTTTTTCTAAAGAGAAGGAAAAAAAGTTATCACAAAATGTATCCCGGCTGCTCGTGTCCTTTGTTTTAAGCTGCATCCACTGGGCAGAGGTACTGGAACCGTCGCGTCGCAGTGAAGTGACCTCAGAGCACATTTCTACTTTGCAGCCCCATGCCTGCCGCGCTGAACCCTAAGGGAGGCTGTACATGTCGGCCGGGTGTGAGAACCGGCCTGCCCGGCTCCCAGTTCCACCCCCTCCGCCACCCCACACTGCCGGCAGGCCTTCAAAGGCTCCCCAGAGTGACGGGCCTGCTTGGACGGTTCAGGGGCGGCGCAGGCGAGAGCACATTCTAATAAGGACGCATCTGCTTATGAGGAGAACTAATCTGCAAGCTCTGGGCTCTCCAATCTTGTATAAGCTACCGAAATAGAATGTTGCCCAATGTCATTTTTTAAACATATTTTAGCATTTTTTTAATAACAGCAATTCTATTTCATGTTCATGATAAATTCTGGAAAATGCTGTCAGGCTATATTGATTTTACATTACCCATTTCTTTTCTCCATGAGAGGCCACTTAAACGTCTAACTACCGGATGGTATTTTTAAGAACTTAAGTCGACAACATGAGCGGTATCCTTGTATTCTTGTCTCTGGTTTCAGTCTGGGAGGATCCATTAGAAATATTCCAAGATCTCTAGCCCCAGACCCCAATTTCCTGGCCTTTGGCTTGGGGTGTATTATTACTTGCTCCACAGGACACCACGCTGGGGCACTTGGAACTAAGGGGCATCTCTGGGTACACATCCCTGGGACCCCCTGAGCCAGCCCGGTTCCTTCCATTATGCCAACCTTGGCGTTGCCCCTATTTGGCTTGCTTCATGGGCCTCACATTGATCTTTCAAGGTTGGCGATTGAGGCTAATTTCTTAGGGCTGGCAACTTCTCCACCTGGGCCTTCTACCAAGACAAAGCCCTCTGTCTACAAAGGACAGTGGTCACTTGGCCTCAGAGAGAATGAACTCTGTGATGATCTTTTCTTCCTCTTTGGAGGAGGGCCCAGAGCAGCCTGAGAAGCCTGACTCGCTGTGAGAGGGACGTAGGAAGAAACAAAAGGCTAAGAAAGCGTGCTGACACAGGCAACCTCATGCCGCTGTTAGCCCCTGAGGATACCTACGACGCAGTTCATTTCTTTGATTCGGCGCCCCGAACAGGGCCTGACACAGAGCCCTGTTCCGTGTCCTGTGTGTGGGTTCCAGGCTTCCTGCTAATTTGGACTTAAAGAGAATTCCAATAGCGCCCACAGGTATCTGGAAGATAAGCGTATTTAGATGCAGGAACAATAAGGGCGAGGAGACTGCCCTCAGTGGTTGTGAACACCTGGGTAGGTCCTAAAGCTCTCCCTTCCAGGCTGCGGCAGAGGGCTCTCCGCTGCTCTGCTGAGTGAGAGAATGCGAACAGGCATAATGCCATTCTCAGAACCAGAGGGAGCGGGTGTTCTCGGGATGACTGAAAGAGCAGAAGAGCCAGGAGTGGCATTTGTGTTTCAAAAAATTGACTTGATTTCTGTATTATATGCAATTACCAGAACCTCTCAAGGGTGTTAAATATCTCAGAAGCAGACACATCAAGTGCTACCTTGCCCTGGTTTGTTTTAAGGAATAGGTTACATTAAGGCTGTTACACAGCTTCGGTCTTGCTGAATTCAAGATGTGTGCTAGAACTGGTCTGTCATTTACTATCACGCCTTGTACTACCATGGGGATTTTGTAATGAACACCATACCTCTTACTTGCATCCTTGCTCTTGATCCAGATGTCCCAGAATCGATTGATACATTTATTCATTCAGTAAGTATTTAATGAGCTTCTACTGTGTCAGGAATCGTGCTAAGAACTGAGGATATACAACAAAATAAATTGACCTACTTCTTACCCTCATGGAACTGAGAGAGGAAAGTGGAAGAAAAGGAAAACCACCACGAACCAATTAATATATAATGAGGGCTTTGAAGGGAGACCTGATTTACGTAAGGAAAGATAGTGTTATTAGAAAAAGCTCCTTTAAAGAAATGACATATATATATTAGAACGAGTAGGAGGTGACTTGACAGAAAGCAGAGAAATGCATATGAGGCCAAGGAAGCAACATGTGCAAAGGTCCTGGGGCAGGAAAGAGCTGTACACATGTGAAGAGGTAAAGGAAAGGCAGTGTGACTGGAGGATGGTGAGAGGCATTTGATGGTGCTGGTGAGCATGTTGGGGACTTTGGAGGCCTTGTTATGGATTTTAGAACTTACTCCAAAGTTACAGGAAGCCCTTAGAGGACAGAAAGCCCTCAGTAAGCAAGAGAATGGCATAATTAGATTTGTATTCCTAAGGATTCCTTCTGAGCTGCTTGTGTGTGTAGAATGAGTTGAAAGGAATCAAGAATGGAAATGAGATTATCAATTGAAAGGTCACTGTATTGGGCAAAACATAATTATGACTTGAACTAGGATAGTGGTAGGAATGGTAGAGAGTGGGTTGGAAAGACATGCAAAACAGCTGGGAGGTAGACTCAACAGGGCTTGAAGCTGGATTGGATGAGGTGGGATAACAGTTTTCAGTAACACTTTCTTTCTAGAGAAACTTTTCTAATTTAACTCCCCTGCTTGGTGACAGTTGAAAAGCTGGAAAGAAGAAGCAGTTGACTTTGACTCTACTCTCTAGCCCCTTGACTCCTGTGGAGCCCAGGTCACTCCACACGCACTTCTAACATTAGAAATGACTCTGCCAAGGAAAGCAACAATTACACCACGTGGGACTGGTGCCTCTGATCGGTGTGGCTTCTTCATTTTGGTATCCTGTGGGTCAGCATCTATAGAAGGTTACATTTTGTGGCCTTCCCATGAAACCAAATAAGCCTGTGCAAAGAGTAGAGAGCAGGGTGAACATGAAGCTCTTTTGATTTTGCCCTATCCACTTTAATGGAACTTCCGTCTATCAATTTATCTCATCTATTTTGGAACAGAGAATAATAGCTTTTCCTTTGGGACAATGATGTTTAATGTGACATAAAGTTGTATCTCCATTGAACTGTTTTTAAAGCATATTTTTTTCAGTGTCAAGTGATGTTCTGCAGTATTTCAGAACTGAGTAAATCCAGGCTCACTAGAGTCAGATAGACTCATCATATATAATTCTGTATTTAATGTTTATATCATCTTCTCATTAGCCCTCTTTGTAGCCAATAGTTTCTGCTGCTTGTGGGGACCATGAAGTGAGGTATTTCCTCATTTGGGCAATCATTTCTTCTGCCCTGTTCTTCAGCAACCACAAGGGTAAGTGTGGAGACAGGCAGGTGACCCTCCACGCCAGCTGCCTGTTGCCTGGGAAGGTTCTCTCCCGTTTGGGGTCTTGGGACAATGATGTCCGCATCTAGGGCTAGTTAACTAGTCATCAGTTGTGAATTAACTCACCATTAGAGGGATTTTGAGTTGCTTGACCACCTCAATATTAGATTTTTATGTGTTTGGTAAACTCAGTCATACCAAAATCCGCTGGATATGAATTAATTAATCTACCACTGCCTGATGAAATCACTGATTTTGATGAACATGTACCAGCTCTACCACCATAACTTTTGCCTCATTGGCATGAAGTTGGAGCCTAACTATGTTCAAAAAACACCCTTATTAAATGATAAACCAAAAGGCCCTGATATGTGTCCTTATAGGATTCTTAGCAATGTATCCCTTCATCAGACTTGTCCCTTCTCATTCTCATAGCATCTCTGTTCTAGGAACTTCAAAAGAAAAAAAAAAAATCAAAACTTAGAAATGCAGTTCAACTTCCATATCCTCTATGATGTTCTTCCTGGTTACAATTACCACCACCACCACCACCACCACCACCACCCACCTGCTTTTCATAGTATCTTTACCACAGCTGGCAGGGGTGGGTGTCAAGGCAAGGGAGATACGGTCTCTGATTCTACACGATTACTCAGGCAGGATTCTTAGGATGGAAGTCACCGTAAGCCAGGTCTGAACCTCAGCCTTGCAGGGCTGAAACCAGGCTCTGAGCTCCTCAGAGATGACCAGTTCTTTGTGACAGACTCTTACTGAATGTAGCAGGACGAATTATTTAACCCATTTCTCTGCATAATTATTTTCTAAAACCAATCTAAACTTCCTAACAAGCCTCTCTATCCCACTGAGTAGTGGGGGGGAAAATAAATGTAATTTTCCAATTAAGTGTAATTGCATCTCTTCCAGTTAAACCAGTCTCTTAATGATAAAATCAATCCCTTTTGGGGACATTAACTCTTTCCTTCTTTTCTCATTATTTTTGTAACAATCCTAAACATCCCCCAAGGCAAGTAAATAGCAAAGGAGCAAGGAAATGCAGAGAGAAATGCTTGTAAATACACTTTAAAATATTATCTCTAACACGCCATAAAGTAAAAAACTAAACTAAACTAAAAGTAAAGCATAAACTAAAAAATCATTTATTAATTGATGGTGGAATCATCACTCTGTAGTGTCCAGAATTTTACATCCCTTTCCCATACCCCATCTTGTAATTAAGATGTCTAGAAAACCATTTTATTAGTTAAAATGTTGCTTGGTGAGTATGAAATCTCAACAAAAGAACAAAGTTGAATAGCACATATGGATATGTCAACAAGCCCTGGGAAAAGCCTACCACACAGCCCTGGCCCCATGGCTGGAATGACTTTTGTTTTCCTGTGCTGGCAGGTTTTCTTCCCCTCTGTCCCAGTTTCTCCTCGCTTAGGGCAATGCTGGGCATTCACTGAACTTTCCTCACTGAGGCCAGAACTCACCTGTTTGGTCTGCCTTATCTTTCTGAGAGCGTAGTAATAACAAAGTATTTGCACAAAGTATTTGCAAAGGCCCTGTGTCTTTGGACTAGGAGAAAGTCTGTCTTTCAGGATTATGTAAGAGACTTTACATAATACATTTTTTCCTACCAAAGTCTGTCTTTTACTATTATGTGCTGAGCCAATCAGACTGAGAAATTATGAGGACACTTATCACATTCAGCCTCAATTATAGCGGAAGCCATAGTATGAGAGACAAAAGCTACTGTAATCTGGGTAGATCCTGCTGTCAGATGGGTGAAATAATAGTTACACGAGTCTTGGAAAAAGACTGTTAAGTTCAACCCAATTGTGAACTTATCTCTACTTATGTGAGCTCAGGTAAGTGAAGCTCCCCACGGCTTAATTAACACAGCAATAAAATGGAAATAATTTAGTGACTCCCTGTGCCGTGATGGTTAGTTTTATGTGTCCACCTAACTGAGCCACCAGGTGCCCAGATATCTGGCCAAACATTATTCTGGGTGTGTCTGTGAGGGTGTTTTGGATGAGATTAACTTCTTGAATCAGTAGGCCGAGTAAAGCAGATGGTTTCTCCTTAACGTGTGGGTGGACCCCATCCAATCAGGTGAAAGCTGAAGAGGGCAAGAAGGATGACCTTCCTTCAAGTAAGAAGGAACTCCTCCTGCCTGGCTGTCCGAGCTAGGGTGTCATGGAGAAAAAGATGTAGTAATATGCTGAAGTGCTCATCTTGGGGACAGAAAGGTCAATATATTGATTATAGCTCTTATTTTTTAAACTTATTATTATGAAAAATTTCAAGCACACATAAAAGTAGAGAAAACAAATAAACCTCACTATACCCATCATCTAGATGTAATAATTGTTCACATTTGCCATAGTCTTGTAGTGTTTTAAAACAATTCCCAGATATTGCGACCCTTTACCTCTAACTATGTCAGTATATACTGTATCTCTAATCCTGACTTTTTTATATACCCACAGTGCCGTTATGACACCTAACAAGATCATTTTTTAGTATCATTTAGTATCCAGGCCATTTCCAAATTTCTCGTTGTCCCAAAAATGTCTTTTTTTGGTTACTTTGTTCAAACCAGGCCCACACATAGCATTTGGTTGATATGTCTCTTAAGTCTCTTTTAATTTTGTTCAGCTGAACAGCCCCCCAAGCTCACTCACTCCGATAAAAAATAAAAGTTCCACAAAGTAAAACATTTTAAAATTTTCATGCAACTAACTTGTGAACAAACCAGGTCAGTTGGTAATCAACTTGTAAAGAGACCACGTCACAGAATGGCCCACAGTCTGGATTTGTTCGTCTCTTTGTAAGTGCCATTTAATTTGTTCTCTAGCTACTATATTAATAAGACATTTGATCTAAAGACTTGATTAAGTTCAAGTTTAACAGTGTTGTTAGGAGTAGTTGTAAGTAGTGCTGGGCGCTCAACCTTACATCTCATCATGAAGCACATTATGTCAAATTGACCATTTTTAGAGATGCTAAGTTTGATTAGCAGTCCAGGCAGTGACAGTCTGATCCCTCCATTACAAAATGACATCATCTCCCCCCCTGCCTTATAACCAGCAAGCAATCTACAGGATGATTCTTTGTGCTTTGGTAAAACTACTTTTGGGTTTAAATGGGGGTGCAGGAGGGGAGTAAATGAGAAGCTATTTAGAAATTAACCAAATGAGAACGCTGCATATCAAGAAGCCAGAAAAATAAACACAAAAAGGGCAGAAGAAATGAATTTATTGTAAAGAATCAGAAACTAATGAATCAGATTTGACTGATAAATAAACCAAAAGCTATTCTTAGAAAAGATTAATAAAATAGACAAGTATTTGGCACGTCAGACTGAGAGGAAAAAGAGATAACATGCAAATAAACAACAGGGAATATGTGAAAAATTATAAGACGAAAATGTGTTCCAGAAAATATGGGTGAAATTCTGAGAAAATATATATGACCAGGTTGGCTCCACAATAAATTTTAAAACCTGAATTAGTCAATATGAGAAATTCATCTATTAAAGCTACATGAATAGCCCTGGCCAGTGTGGCTCGGTGGTAGAGTGTCCGCTTGAGCACCCAAGGGTCTTGGGTTCAATTCCCAGTCAAGGGCACATACCTGGGTTGCAGACTCAATCGCTGGCCCCGGTTGGAGTGCATGCAGGAGGCAGCCAGTCGATATATCTCTCTCACATCGATGTTTCTCTCTCCCCGCTCTCTCCCTCCCTTCCTTCCACTCTCTCTAAAAGTCACTGGAAAAAATTAATACCCTTGGGTGAAGATTAACAAAAAATAAATTAAAATAAAATTAGACGAATAAGCAAAATTAGTTCATTAATGAATGTAATTCACCACATTAACAGATTGAAGGAGGAAATCATTATGAAAATAATAATAGCTAACTCATAGAAATTGCTGTGCACCAGGCACTGTTCTAAGAGCTTTAAATATATTAACTCATTTAATGTCAATAAATGCTACAAAGGTACTTGATTAAATTCAGTCCCATCCCTGTTTCAAATTGTAGTAAGAAATATATTTCAGGAATAAAGAGAAGCATCCTTTAAAAAATGAAATTAAAGTATCTACTGGAAATAGTGAGGTATTAGAACTTTTCATGTCAAATATCAGAAACCCAACTCAAAATAGTTTAAACAGAAAACATATTTCCACAAGTAATTTGGAAGTCCCAGGAAATTTATCTAGAGTGACAATACCCGGATCCAAGGTATCCCTAACTGGGTGGGGTACAAAAGATTATTCAGTTTGTATTGAAATAGCAACGTATCCTGGTGCATATAAACTAAAATTCAATTTACAAAAAATCAACTTACAAAAATTCAAAGTACATACAATCTTGTCAGAAATACTTCAGACGCACCTATGCTCTGGTCCTTTGATTTTGTCCAATTTTCTTCCAGCTCCTTCAAGATGACAGTGAACATATTAAAATCAAAGAAGCCCTTTTGCTCGCCACATCTCTGCCTTAGCCTCGATTTTGTCTCCCTCCTGCATCTCACGCTCGGCCCTTGCTTAGAGTTGGCTTCTGGTTTTAGTGAGGTGTTGCCTGAAGAATTTCTGGATCTCTCCCCAGGCATGCTCCTGGGCTGCGGCATGCGCAGCAGGGTCCCCTCCCCAGAGCACGGGTGCGGAAAGGGGGTAATTATAGGAAGCGAGAGCGGTGTTATTAGTGGATGTGGAAACGGGGTTAGCACGGGAAATGTAGCATAGGGGTGCATAGGGCGGCTCCAGGAGGTGGCCTGCCCCAGGGTAGGCCAGCATCCTCCCATTGCTCTTCCCGTGCCTCTTCAGCCGCTCCAGGGCGTGCTTAGCATGCTCTCGGCTATTGATCGATTGGTCATCCTCTCCTATAAGAAAGAGGATCTGACCCTGGGCCTTTTCAATAGGAAGCACACTCCGCTGATTCAGTTCATCCCGCAGGTCCCCCCTGTAGTGGAGCAGGCGCACAGCCCCTGAGACGTCAACCTGCATGCGCTCCAGAAACGAGGGGATGGGTGACATGACCAGGTCCTTATACCTGATCGGAAAGTCAAAGACGCCAGTGGTCCCATTGATGCAGATGGTGGCTACCACCTGCTTCAGGAAGCAGGCCATGGCCAGCCCGATCTCTGCACCTTTGCTCACTGAAAGCACCCCAATTCCTGGCCCTTGGATCTGAAACACAAAATAAAGGGAACCCGTTACAGGCCGTCCACTGAGAATGAGCTGTGCTGCGGGCCACAGGCCAGTCTAGGACACGGACATCAGAAAACACGAGGTGCGAGTTCTGGCCCTGGGGCTCACCAGCTTCTGTGACTGGGAACACCACCTTCCTGCCCTCTCTAAGCCTTATTGTCTTGTGGGGGTGATAACATTACCTACCTCGCAGAATTGTTACTGAGGATCAAGGGAAACAATAGAAATAGAAACTCTTTATCAAAGGCAGACCTCTACAAAACCAGAAGGATCTAATGCACCAGCAAGTCTACATCACGAGAGCAGAGACGGATAAGCTTTCTGAAGCATCACATTCTTCTCTCCAGCTAGGAAAAGAGTTTTCCTTGGTTCTTTCAAATATTATGTTAGTGTGGTTCATATTTAAATAGCATTTTACAGCTGCAAAGGTTTTGCACGTCCATGAATCCAAAGGCTAATCTTAACGAGGAAAGATTTGGATTCTACCAACAGGTGAATTTCTGCACCCAGTCCAACAGGAAAATTAGTAGGTCATAGGAGTGAGTCCTTCCTTCTGTGACAGGCTGAGGGAGCAGAGGGGAGGAAAGAGGCTGAGAGATGAGGGAGGAAAGGGCCAGTGTGCTGAACAGACAACAGCCAAGACGTAGCCACCCGGTGTGTTATTTTGCTCGCAATTGTATTCCCAACACCTTTCTGTCATCAGGATCGCCTGAAAAGGACTTTTCAATTAGAGCTTTCTGAGATCCAATTTTTCAAGTTTCTAGTACAGTAGGGCCAAGTGGGCCAAGAATCTGACTCTGTAACATATTTCCTAAGAAATCCAATGTGCACCCACAGTTGGGGACCATCTGCTTGAGAAACGGAGGAGGGAATGACAGAGGAGAGCTGTAACTGGAGGCAGGGAGCTGAGTGCTGCGTAACTACAGCATCGCATCGCACCGCAGTGAGCAGCGATGAGAACGCGCTGAAACGGCGGCGGGAAGGGTGAGGGGGCTTGATGTGCAGAGAAAAGTTCAGCAGTAGAATCTAAATCAGGCAGGGATTGGTTGGGGTGTGGGGAAAGGGGGAGGGAAGACACCGGATAGGCAAAGATGACAAGGAGGGTTAATTGAGAGCTTACTATATGCTAGACCCTAGGCTAAATGCTTTACACATATTATCTCAGACCTCTCAAGGGAACTGAGATTCAGGGAGTTTAAGTCTCACTCAAGGTTACAACAGTAGTAAGGGGCTGGGGGGTGCGCGGGGTGGAGGGGGGAGTTGAACCTCTTCTGCCAAATCTAATTTCAAATTGAATTTTGGCAATTTTCTCTTCAGACAATTCACAAATGGTTGCATTTGAGAGGGGGGGAAAATAACTTGAAACCATTTTGTACGGGATTTAATTCCTTTTAGGCAGTCCTTTAAAAAGAAACAAATAGGCTTAGAAAAATCGCACATATATTTGATGGTGATGATGATGATGATGATGATGATACTGACAGTGCTCCAACAGGAAGCATATCGTCTCTCACCTTGAGAAGAGTCAAGGCTCTCGGGGAAGAGAAAGATACAAGTCAGGGAGTCAGGGTGACTTAAGGTCTGGAGCAAGGCCATTGCCAGAAGGGCTCTGTCACTGGCCGTGCAGTTTTGGCACATTACTTCCCCTACTATGCTTTCTCACCTGAAAACTGAAGATCACGTACTTATTTCACAAAGTTCTCATGAGCATTAAGTGAGTGCATACAAAGTACATTTAGCATAGAGTCTAACAGTCACTTAATGTTGGCTGCTTTGATTATTTTACCACTGTTAGGTTGAACCATAAGAAATAACTGATATTTGAATACTTTTTAACTAGAAAACGATAAGTTAATATGGTTCAACTTAACAGAATGTCAACCTTGACATCTGACCACGGGATACTTATCTCTACGTGTCTGTTTTCGATCATTACCACAAGTACCAGTACTCTGGGACCTCCTGAAGTGAACTAAACCATATCATCTGATATTTAACCCCTAGAAAAAAGCTGAGTTATCAAATGTACTATTCCAGTCCTTATCATCCTTATGTGACTCACCTGGGGATCTTGTTAAAATGCAGGTGCTGATTCAGAAACAGGGCCTGAGAGTCTACATTCAAACACTGCTAGGGGATGCCGAGGCCTCTGGTCCATGGACCACACTTTCAGTAGCACATGATGCTTGACAAAGAGTTCTAAAATGACCCTTCCCTTCCAGATTCCTTTCCCTAGCCTAGCTCCTGACACCGAGCCCTTACTTTAGGCTTAGTTCTGCTCCTGGATCTGAAACTAACTAAAGAACTAATTCAGCCAAATCAGACGGTGCAAGCCAAGTCAGTTTTGCTAATAATCCTGCTCTGATCTCCTGCCCAAACTCTTACATTGAACCTCTGCATTGTTCTTCGTCTCAGGACTCTTTAATGGGATTTATGCTGCCATTACCCCATGCTGAGATAATCACTGAAGTCTGAAAACATGTCAAGCCTGAGAATTAACTGGTGGCTGATTTGAGATTTGAGGTCGGTCGCCAATAAAACATTGACGAGCCAGTTCTGAGTAAATCACAAGCACTTGAAATGTAAGAAGTCTTGGGTTTTTTCCCCATTGAAAATAATCATAATATATCCACCCTTTTTTGTCTTGCCTTCTTTATGCCAATAAGCACTAGGCTGATCTCTCATCAACCCCACAATCACATAAGGTAAATATTAGCATAGATCCTATAAGGTAGATAATAGCGTTCCGATTGTAACTGTAAACTGTTGTACTATGCCCAAGTCTAAACAGATTGATAAAATGGGCAGAAAAGACATCTGTGATTTTTATTTTTTTTATTTTTTTGTCTTTTGCTATAAGGTTGCAAAGTAAAATGAAAAGTATTTTAAATACCTTGGGATGAGCTAGTAGCAAGTTGGCAGCTTCTTCAAAATATTCCAGGTCCACCTCCTGCAGCAGGTTGGGCAGGTCTTCATAGGCAAAATACGCCACCGCCAGGACTGCAAAGCCATGGGAAGCCAACAGACTGGCTCGGAACTCAATTAAACCCCCCACCCCCCCAAACAAATCAATGACTCCTGGGAAAGGGCCTTCCCCTGAGAAAACAAAGAGAGGAGAGAATGAGGTTAGAAAGAGTGAAAAGAGGGCCAAGCAGACAGCACAGGGGGAGCAAAACGAATTCCACCTTCACCCACAAGCACACGAGGGCAGTTTAGCTCTGCTAGGCTGTGGGGAATACCAGCTCTCCAATATTTCGACGCCGCTTGTTTTTGTTTTCATTTCCATCAACAATGTCTTCTCCACCACCAAAGATTCGTCTCACCTGGGGGAAGGAAAAGGGCTCCCCGCACGCGGCCTTCCCGGATCTGCACCCGCTGCATGCCCGGGTGGCTGAACCAGCGCTGCACCACCAGGCTGGCCCTGGGCTGGAGCTCGGCCGGGTCTTGGAAGCACACCGAGTCGTACAGGTCCAGAGTCACCAAAAAGGGGCTGTTCATCACATCCCTCTTCAGCAGCCTCCGGAAAGGCTTCTCCGGCTTCAGAGACCAGAAGAGGCCCATGGGATGGACCCCCACGTAGTCGCCTCCGCAGGAAGGGGCCTGCCTCAGGTCCAGCTCACCAGCCTCGTTGGCCCTGAAGAAGGCTTTGGACTGGAACACATTGCCCCTCTCGTCCTTCAGGGATGCTGTGAGGGTCACCAGCTGCAGCGGAGGCAGGCCTGTCGCTCGGATGTGCACGGGCTCATCAGAAAGGGCACTTGCTGGGGTGGCTGTCAGCTGGAACATCGGCAACTGGCCAACGGACCACCGAGTGGTGGTTCCTGCCCTGCTGTGGAAGGAGGAGACTTTGAGCTGGATGGAGGCTTAGGTTCTAAGGAAAAGGCCCAGGCTGGGCTTATGTTACGTCTGGGCAGGTTGGATGTCTGGAGACAGTGCAAGGTCTGCAGAACCTTGGGAGGAGGGAGAAGTAGCTGTGCAGACAGTCCCCTTTATTCTAATTTTAACAAGGAGGAAATAGGTTAAGTGATACTCTCAGAGTCTCATAAATAATTCATAGTAGAACTGGAAATTCGAGCTAGGTCGGACATCACAGTCTCCTTCCTGTCTTATCCATTATATAACACGGTTTAAATCTTAGTTTTGTGGTTTTAAGTAAGATGAGCTTTAATTCCTCAATTGAGAGAATACTCATGTGATCTATTTCACAGGGTGCTTGGACCCAAAGGTGCATGAGAAAGGGCTTATAGGAAGGATCACTACTGCCTTTCAGCCCCCATACCTGCCTGAGCTACAGTTACATGAACAAGAAATATATTGTGGAGGTGTTTATTTGTATCTCTAATCCCTCCCTGCCCTTGCAAGACTGGCCTCCAACTCTTTTCACAGTTCCTATTATTTATTCTTTATAAGGGAAAATAAAACTTTATGATCTTGTCTCAATGTTGTTTGTAGTAAAGAGACTATAGCATGCTTCTGATCAGCCATTTCTTACTCTGCTCAATTACGAGGAAAATTTGGGGTGTTCCTTTCTATCTCCCTCCCTTCCTTCCTCTCTTCCTTTCTTTCTCTCCTTCCTTCCTTCTTTCTATATCTCATTTCTCGAAGGATTTGAACCTGTTTACAGATAAACAAATACTGAGTAAAATAAAAATAAACTAGGATCTGGGAAAATATGAACTAGAATCAGAGGCATGGATCAGAGAAAACTTGGAGCATGAGAAGTAATTATTCTCATTGAAACAGCTACCACTTCCTCAGGGGGAAGGAATAAGTGAGGGCTTTCCAAAATTTAGCTCTAATAAAATAATAATAATAATTCTCCTATGAGACTGACATAGGTATGTACTATTTTTTTTCAATAATATCTTCACACAGATTGTAGTAGCAGCTGTCCCTCAAACAGCTTGATTCTTCAAGGGACCCTTAATTTTTAGGGGGGAATATGAAACCAAGGCTTTGGGGGGTAGATTTGTGAGTAGCAAAACTTCTGGAGAAAAATAACTGGCTCTGGCAGGACAGGGACAGAAAAGGGGTTCTCGATGTCCAGTCCTTCTCTGTGGGAAGAGAGCCTTCGGAGTTAGGCGACCATCAAGGGGAAAATGCCATTTTGCACTTACTTTAAAAGTGATTTTCTGCAGAGACCACACTCCCTCCCAACCTGACCTCCTATCAACAGCCAGCATTACTGGCTAGTCTATGTAAACCTAAACCCTTGGTCAATTTGAATTAATGGAATGATCGTGAATGTTTTTCCTCAATACCGGGAAAGTTCTTGAAACAAGAAGGTGGCATCAGTTCAAATTTCATGGGTCTTTCATTCATGTTAGTGAGATGGGACACTATCCTTTAAAAACCCCATGTCCCATGCAACATTTTGGTGCTCTCTAAGTATTTTCTGATCTGATCCTTCCCGTAAGCCTCTGTATATGCTGTTACCTTTTGTCCCCCAAAAAGAGATCACGAAGAAGGGATAAATGATTTCCCCTATTTTACAAATCCTTTTCCAGTTCTTCTTGTTATTATTTTTCTTCTCAAAACTTCTATACGATGTATTGACTCAATGCAGATTTTATTTTCAAGTTGAATTAATTTGAATTGCTTACTGTACCCACACTCTCCAGCATGCATCCTGCCTCTGGTCTGATCCTCCCAGGTGGACTGTGGACTCCTCAAGGGCAGGAATGAGGTGCTAAAACTTTTGATACTCATATATCACAACATGCTTGGAGCTATGAGATTCATAATGAGCAAAAAAAAAAAACTAGCACCAAAAATGTAATGAAAATATTCTACTTACATAGTGTTTTTGTAATATAAAATATTAAGATTTCTTCCCAAGTCATGGTCCCTCTTTATCTGAGAATTGCCCCATAAAGCCCAGAGATGAACTCTCAGTAGCTATGGTTATGCCAAGTGACAATCCTGGGGTCATTGCTGACTGGATCAGGGCCAGATACGTGAGTCAAGGTGTGCCAGGGATGTTCTCCTCTTGCCAATTTAGAATTGAAACTCAGAGATCACTAGTCACTCCGTCAGGGTCAGGACAAAAAGTGAGGCAAAAGGGCACTTAGGGAGCAAAATTTACTGGCATGGCCAAGCCTCTCTAGTTCTCCTGAAGGTTTGGATCCCAGGAGCCCCTCTTGCCTCACCCTAGTCCTGGTCCTGGACTCTTTGTATGTGACTAAATTCACAATTCAGAAGCTGTGCCTAGATCATCACAAAGTCTGTCTTGGGGTGGAGTGTGGGAGTGTGAGGAGAGAGGAACACACAGAGAGAGAGACATGTGATAGTTTTTATCTTGAGAAACCCCTAGGTAGTTCATTTAGAAGGTCATGGGTTGTGTAGATAAGTGTAAGAGGAAAGAGAGAGATAAGAAGGTAGGTTTCAGAAGACTTCAGTCTTTGAGAGAAACTACCTTAGAGCTACAACTTTGGAGATTTCAGCACTCAGCTGACTATTGAATGCTTGATGTTTAGTCTCCTAATTTTTCTGGAGCTTCTGTTAAATGTGTTCATTTATTGGTTCTGACTTGTCAGAAATTCCCCATAATGGTCATTATTATTCTATGTCTAATTTTTTGCCATTTACACCAAGTTATATGGAAGAGTTAGATTATAGTGAAACTTCCTATAAGAAGCAGGTGTTTTCCCAAGATGATGTGGTTCTGACATAAACAAACCCATGAAACAGAGAGAGAGAGAGAGAGAGAGAGAGAGACTTAATTAGTCAACAGTGTGTGCTTGTGAATGACGTCTTAGGTTTCCTGACCAAATAAAGACTAGAGGGGGCCATAAGGTCAGTAACTCTGTTATCATTGCCCTTGGAGTATGGGCCAATGGGCCAAATTAAGTCATCTTCTGTCACAAGTTGAAAAGGCCGGGTGTGCCCTCATGAAGATTTTGAAAAATTGCCTTTTCAAAACTTGATTGTAAGCCTAACAGACCTCAAACTTATCAGGTCTGTGTGTCATCTGTTCCTTATATAACACTCCCTTATAAATTCAGTGGAAACAAGAAAAGTCTAGGATTGAAATACACACAACATATGTGAGGGTGCACATGCACACACACGGGTGTGCATGCACACACGCACACAAAAGAAAACATTGTACTTGTACATCAGGGATTCTCAACTGGGGTTCCAAGGAGTCCCAAAGTTCTGCAAAATGTCACTAAGGTTTCCACAGGAGTTGTTAATTGGGAAAAACACAAACAATTTTTGAACTTTGAGTGTCATGTGATGCTAGTGTATGCAATGATGGGTAGTGACTGAGCCAGCCTACCACTGATTCTTTTCAGGAGTCTTTCATCCCCATAGGGCAATATGCGAAAGGACCATGTTCAGTTAGTTGAGTCCATCCTCAGCTTTGGATGCAAGCAAGATGGGGGGGCTGTTGATGGTTAGTGAGCACTATATTGCATGGAGAGGAGGGTGGTGGGCAGATAATGTTTGCCTCTCCTTCCCAAATCACCTACTCCAAACTCCCCTTATGCTTGGTGGAACAAGTTAAGAGAGTAAACAAACTCTTTGGTGTAAGAGAAAATCAGAGAAACTTCTGCATTCCAAAAAACAAACTTTTACACGCTGCAACTCAGCTGCACCCTGATGCTTTGCTATTATTGTAAACATTGCAAAGTGTGGACAATGTAGGAGGAGCATTTTAATAAAAACTGTTTTTAGAAGATTTTTTTTCATTTTGTCATTTATTATACCACTCTTTTATATTTTAGCAAGCATTTGCATTTTACAAATATGTTTACAGTCTGATAGAGTGACTTTTGAAGACAAATTGAAAATGGAAGGGGGTTGAAGGACTAGGGACAAGTCTCATAAGATGAGTGATGGAGAATTGCCACCTTCTGACTCACTTCACAAAGGACAGCAACAACAAGAATCGCTCTTCACAACGAAGCTAATGGTGAAAGGGGTTTACGTTAGTTGGTAATACAATCTGTCCTGCTCCACTGTGCAGCATCTTTAACGAACGGTTTCATGAGGGAGCAATGGCCCGTGGAAAATTGAAAAGAAACTTGCCTACCACAACTGTGTGGCTAGTAGAGGAACTGATTATTTCAAATGGCTATTGAAATTACATTCTCCTTCTGATTCCCCTTTTTCCTCTAACAGCAAACGACAATTGCACAGTGGCTGCCAGATTAAGGGTAAAGCCTAACACCTTTGGCTTAGTACTGAAGACCTTTTGCAGGGGAATGGCCCTGGCACAGCACCCTGAAGAATGTCCTTGTGTCTACCGGCAAAGCTGGAGCCACCATGTGACCTAAATCTGGGTAGGAGGCCTGTGCTCTCGTCCCAGGAACATTCCAAGGTAGGCAGTCTTCAGGGGATGCTTCACAAGGTGGCTTTCTCACGTGTCTCTCCCTATCTTGTGGGAGGCTGCCGAGAGGCAGTTTTCTCCCCCATTGCAGAGCAGCTCGGCCCTTTCCATCTCCCCCCCACGCCCCTTCAGGGTAGAGCTATAGGCTCTATGACCGTATTGCTGCAGGCTAGAGTTGGCTTCTCAGCAACAGGGTATGTCACAACTGTGTGGGACTCATTGGGCTGCTTTGTTGGAGGGCCATTCTAAGGGATGTGTGAGACAAGGACCCAGTGAGCTGACATGTTTAGCTTGCTTGTAAGTAATAGGCTGTGTGAATCTAAACAGGGTTTATTATTTCTTTATCAGCTATATCTGTCAGTCTCAGGCACATGTACTAATTAAATTTCAATTCATAAAAATAGGTAAAATTTAAAATTGAGTTCCTCAGTCACACTAACCACATTTTAACTGCTCAGGAGGCACAAGTAACTAGCAGCTACTGCCCTGGACTGTGTAGATATAGACCATTTCCGTCATCATGGAATATTCTATCGGACCACACTACTCTGGATTGTAAATTATTCCTCAAGGGCAGGATGTATTCATTGTTCAACACTCTATTCCTTGGTTCCTAAAATAGTGCGTGGTGCATATTAATTGCTCAGTGTTTGAGGAATTAATTTTAAAAAAATGATAGATGAAAAAGCAAAAATGTGAAATTTCTCAGAGAGTATGAAGAATGGAAGCCCAACTGAATTTTGATACACTACTCCTGAAGTTGGGAGGTTCCTCAAAATCCAATATTAAGTTTTCAGGCTTCCTCACTTCCTTGCAGCAGGAGGCAGGGCCCTGCACACTGCAGTGTCAATGAAACTAAGATACCAAGCAACCAGAGGGCGAGAAACTACAAGTGAGTGGCCTCCCACAGGATTAGCCTTGTTGTTGGAGAGGGAGCCCTCAGCAATACGGACACAACCTGACCGGGCCTGAAAGCTTAAAGCCACATAGCTGAGCCGGTTCCAGACCTCCAGACTCCCAGGGAGAAGTGCATCAAGCCTACGCCCTCTGGAGAACTTGACGTGTTCCGAGGAAAGGCAGTCAAAATCTGGCCAGACACCAGCCCACCAGGAGGCAGAACACAAGGAAATAAAAGAAAGCAAAGGTCACCAATAGAAGTTGACATTACTAATCAAGAGACAAAAATCCCATTTTCTGTAGGAGCCTGATGCTTTTCTTTCTTCATCACCAGCATTTCCTTCCCCTCCTTCCAAGCAATCAATCCTAGGAAAAATTTCTTGAGTCAATAAACAATCTCTCCATAAATTCACATTAGCTGGACCCTGACTTTGGCAGCCAACCGTTTCTGATCAATAAACCCTCACAGATGTTAATCGATGGTCCCTCTGAGGACTGTGCTACCTGCTAAGATAAGAGGAACACACACAGCAAAAGGAACACTGACCTTGAATTCAGCTGCAGGAAGCAGTCTAGAGCAGAAGGCCTCGCTGAGCCAACTGCTCGCACAGGACACTGGCCTGCTGCTGGATAATCTGTATCGTTTAAAACACCCCAGCCTACTGTTCGAAGGTCAAATGGTCTCCACAGAAACCATAGGCAGTGACTCCAGTGGCAGGACTACACTCTCAGCCAGAGGCTCGGTCTAGCTGGCATGCCTTTCCATGCAGGAGTTTCATAACCGAGTCTCATATTTCATCACACAGCTCTGACGTTTAAGCCTTTCCAAGCTTTGACTCCTCCTCTCAACTCCCAGCTCTAGTCTCCTTTGCTTCGGTTCCTTCTGTATCTTCTCCTCTAAGGCAGTGGGCTCTTAGGCAGCTGCCGGTTTGGTGGTTTCTAAAAAGGTGAATCACAGTATCCATCTCCAGAGCAGTGTGGGTTTAAGACTCACTGGAAATACCAGGGGAAACACTTTGCAAAGTATATGATTGTCTAACCATGACGCAGTACACCTGAAACTAGTACAAAATGACCTTAAACATAAAGTGTAATTGAAAAATAAAATGTAAATTAAAAAAAAAAAAAAAAGCCCTGGCCTGTGTGTCCCAGAGCACCGAAAGATTGCCAGTTTGATGTTTCACTCTCACACAGATGTTTCTCTTTTTTTAAAACAAAAATTTTTTTAAGACTTTCCTGAGTAGTCTGCCAAAGATTCCTGAAACTTGCACCCAGATTCTGACTTAATAGGTCTGTAAGTCTCTGAGATTTGTATTTTTAACAGATGTTACTCCACAGCCCAGTTTGTGAACCACCACTCCAAATAACAGAAGCCCTCCAGACACAGAAATGCCTCCTCCGGAACCCCTGAAACCTGCCCCATTGTTAACCCCGTCACTGAGTATCCATAGTTAAAATGTACAAATGACCCCACCTGCAGATTGTAGCCTATGCTTCCCGGCTGTGAATTCCTCCAGGGAGGGGAGCATGTCTTTTTTTTTTTTTTTTTAATATATCTTTATTGATTTCAGAGAGAGGAAAGGAGAGGGAGAGAGAGAGCTAGAAACATCAATGATGAGAGAGTCATTGATCGGCTGCAGCCCGCAACCCGGGCATGTGCCCTGACCGGGAATCGAACCCTGATCGCCTGGATCCTAGGTCAACGCTTAACCGCTGAGCCACACCCGGCCGGGCATGTCTTTTAATTTTTGCTTATTTTGCAGCCAGTGAGGTGTAGTCACTGGTCTCTGGAACCAGAAAGACCAAGATTGAAACCCTGGTGGCTTTTCATCTATCAAAGTGAATGGCCTTGGGTAAATCAACTTTGCTGTTTCAGCTTTCTAGTTTGTGAAATGGGAATGATATGATCAAATGTATTAAAAGTGAAAAATAAGCCTTGAGGAGAAGGGGCTGAAGTTTGGAAGGCATAGGCAGATTGGAATGTGTGGGTGCAGAGCAGGATACTTGGCACACAGCTCCTACACTGGCTAAGAGGGACCATGGCAGGATGGCAAGGCTCCTAACTTAGTGACTGATTCCCAGGACCATATCCAAGGATGGGAGGGGGTGGTGGTGGAGGAGTGCAGCAGAAATAGTGCTGTTTCTCTAAGACTTTAAGAGAAGCACCAAAAAAGGTAAGCAAGTCATGATGCTTCAGTACCCAGGTGATGCAGTGAGGTGCAGGTTAAACTGGCACCGAGCCAGACCTTTTGCACTCTGCCGCCCAGTGCAGAAGACACCAGGAAAACTGGCCCTCCACGGACCCTGAAGGGATGTAGGAAATGGGAAGCGAGGACACTGGTGGGAGCACCAGGCAGTAAGGTGCCCACTGTGCACAAAGTGGGCATTAGCAATTGTCATTAGGTAGGTGTGGACCATGCAGAAAAGACTGTGAGGTCTTCTGAGGAGGAAGGAATTGAACCTCCAGCCTGCCTTCAGACTCAGGACTACAACATCAGCTCTTCCCTGAGTCTCCAGCCTGCAGGCCTGCCCTACAGATTTCCAGCTCTACAATTCACATGAGCCAAATTCTTAAGTCTCTGACTCTCCCTCTGTCTCTCTCTTCATAAACACACACACACACACACACACACACACACACACACACACACACACACACACACACACACAAAAGATATATTGGCTGGGCCTGCGAATTTAACTGACATAAGACAGATTAACAGGAGAAATGCATATAAATGTATTTAATGTAAGTTTTATGTGACATGGGAGTCCCCCATCATAAGGAATGAATACCTAAGGAAATGACAAAACCTACTTGTCTTTAATTAGGTTGGACAAAGAGAGGCAATTGTGGAAGAGTAAACTATGATGGGAGGCCAACGGAAGATAAGCATTATTTTACAAGGTCCGTTTGTGGAGAATTCTCTCAATCTCAACTTCTTGTCCTTGACGATAAGACTGTTACTTTCCTTCTGATGTAGGATGACATCTTCCATCTGGGAGTTTTATCTCTTGCTTTCAGGAAGAAAATGGGGAGGGTCTTACATCTGCTGTTTTTTTAAGTGCTAATACATTTTATATCAAAGAGGCATATTTTGGGGTGAATATATTCTGGTTTGCTTTAAAGGAGAGGGAGGAATTAACATCATTAAAATGCCCATACTACCCAAAACAACCTATAGATTCAACACAATTCCTATCAAGAGACCAATGGTGTATTTTACAGAACTAAAAAAAAATATTCCAAAAATTTATATGGAACACAAAAGACCCTGAATAGCAACAGCAATCTTGAGAAAGGAAAGCAAAGTTGGAGGAATCATGCTACCTGATATAAAACTATACCACAAGGCCATAATAATCAAAACAACATGGTACTGGCATAAAAGAGACATACAGATAAATGAAACACAATAGAGAGCCCAGAAATACACTGATACCTTTCTGGTTCATTAATATATGACAAAGGAGGTAAAAACGTACACTGAAGACAGTCTACTCAATAAATGATGTTGGGAAAATTGGACAGATATATGCAAAAAAATGAAACTAGACCACCCTCTTACACTGTACGCAAGAATAAATTCAGAATGGATTAATGACTTAAATGTTAGACTCGAAACCATAAAAATCCTAGGAGAAGACACAGGGAGTAAAATTTCGAACATTTCTTGTAGCAATATTTTTTCTGATGTCTTGCCTCAGGTGAGGGAAACGAAAGAAAAAAATAAACGAATTGGACTACATCAAACTTAAAAGTTTTTGCATAGCAAAAGGAAACTATCAACAAAATGAAAAGACACTGAACTGGAAAACATATTTGCCAATGATACATCTGATAAAGGTTAACATCCAAAATGTATAAAGAACTTATACAACTCAACATCAAAAAAACAAACAATCCAATTAAAAAATGGGCAAAGGACCCGAATAGACATTTCTCTAAAGAGGACACACAGATGTCCAATAGACATATGAAAAGATGCTCAAAGTCACTAATCATCAGAGAAATGCAAATTAAAACCACAATGAGATATCACCTCACACTTGTCAGAATGGCTATCTTCAATAAATCAACAAGCGTTGGCAAGGATGTGGAGTATACCAATTGCCTGACTACCTATGGGCTCTCATCTTCTTATGGAGCCCTCATACACACAAAATTTAAATTATTTTTTTTCTCCTGTTAATATGCCTTATGTTAATTTGATTATTAGGCCAGTAAAAGAACCTATAAGAGTAGAGGAAAAATTTTTCTTACCTGACATGGCCCCTAATTCTAACATTCAGACAGAACAGGGCTCTATTCTTTTCTTGAGATATTTATTTTAGCCATTATTTTTCTTTTATATGAAATATCTTGGCGGCAATTTTTTTTTTAATTACAAGGCACAAAAAAGGCAAGAAAATGGCTCATGATCATGAAGGGTAACAGTCAGTAGGAAAAGACTCAAAAATAGCCCAGAGGTTGAAATGATCAGACAGGAACTTTGAAACAATTACAATAGAAAGCTATTCAGCAATGAAAAATAGATCAAATTATTGATATATGCAATAACCTGGATTAATTACAAGGGCATTACACTGAATTAAAAAAAGCCAATCCCAAATGAGAACATTATAGAAATGGAAAACAAATTAGCGGTAGCCAAATTTCAGGGGTTGGGGTCGGGGGAAGACGGTTCTAAAAGGGCACCGTAGGGACCCCTGTGGTGACAGAAACATTTTATATCTTTAATGTATCAATGCCAATATCCTTGTTGTGATACTGTACTATAATTTTGCAGTATTTTACCATTGGGGGAAACTTGGTAAAGGGTACATATATTCTCTCTGTTTTGTTTCTTACAGCTAATTGGAATCTGCCATCATCTCAAAATAAAAGTTTAATTGTAAAAAATAAGTATGACAAAAATGCTAAAGGATCTAGTGGGAAAGGCAGACAAAATACATGAAGAGATTGAGAATTTCATCTGAGCATGGAAGCTATATAAAAGAACCAAATAGAAAAGCTAGAAATAAAAAATACGGTATCAGAAACTGAGAATTCACTAGGTAGACTTAAGACTGGAAACAGCAAAGTAAAAGACCAGAAAACTTAAAGACAGCTCAATTGAAAGTACCTAACCTAATCCCAAAGAGGAAAAAAAAAAGGATGTAAAAGAAGAATAGAGTACTTGAGATGTGTGGGACAATGTCAAATAATCTAACATATGTGTAATTGGTGCTTTAGAGAGACAGGTGGGAGAAGGGCACAGAAGAAATATTTGAAAAAATAACAGCTGAAAAATGTTCAAAATTGTTGAAAAACAGGCCACAATTGCAAGAAACTCAGCAAACCACAACAAGAACAAACCTAAGAAAACCACAATTATGGTAATATTGTCAAACTGATAATAATAAAATATAAAGAGCAAATCTCCAAAGCACCCGGAGAAAAATGGAAACACATACAGGTGAACAAATAATACAAATAACATTTGACTTCCCACCATAAACAATGGACACCAGAAGATAAATAAATCTTTAAAATGTTTCAAGGAAATTTTTTGAAAACTGAAATTCCTTATCTAACAAAAATACACTACAAAATGAAGGCAAAATAAATGCATTTCCAGGAAAACAAAACAAAATCGTAACAGATTATGTCTAAAGTAGAACAGCATTATAAGAAATGCTAAAAAGGTAAAGGGAAATTATTCTAGATGGACAACTGGATCTGTGAAAAAGAATGAATACTACAAAAATTGTAATTATAAAAGCCTTTTTAAAAAATACCTTTAACAAATATGCACACACTTGTGTGCGCTTAAATATAATTAAAAGACTTTAAAATAAAAATAACAATGTGTTGTGGCACTTACAGAATACATAGAAATATAATTACGAAAATGTAGGAATAGGGTAACTAGAATTACGCTGTTGCAAGGATATTATATTACTATTTTTTCAAAGCAATACAAAATGGTCTGCAGGCAGACTAACACCTTACAGGAGCTCAGCCAAGTTGGGGGAGACAGAGAGCTGGGCTGACAGGTGTCAGAATAGCTAGTTACAGCAACAACTCAAAAACAAGAGTTAAACGTTTAGTCACTTACTGTGATCAGAGAAAGTGCCTGGGGCAAGACGAGGAGTGGATCAGCCAAATGTGGGGGTGATATCACTGCTGAGGGAGCCCCAAATGAAAGGATTCCACAATCTTGGGGGCAGCGGAGTGAATGGAGAGGACTAGTAGAAAAGAACTGGACACTGAGCAAGAGTGGGAAAAAGTGTCCACTTTCCCTCTTCCTGGCATAAAGAGACCTCAGCAGAGACTTCTGAACATTACTTTGGACCTTGATCAAAGGTCTGAGGTAAAGAGATCTAAAAATGAAGCCTCCTGGGCAAGCTAGGCAAATCTCAACAGGAACATTATGACCCAAAATGACCTGCAAGTTCCTTCACCTTGGCTGTGCCCCAAACTTGGTTTTCGAGGACAGCTTGCCCTCAGAAGCCTGCCAGGGAAAACCTTTGTAATTTGTCCATGGTCAGGCCTGAAAATGTGTTGATTCCTCAGGTACATATTTTAATTTCTAGAGTAAACACACACACAAATATTTAAGCCAAAGGGAGGCAGCTGTTCTAATTACTTTGATTGTGTAACAAACCACTCCAAAACTTAGAGGTGTGCAACAGTCATTTATTACATATTCTGCGGGTCAGGGGTCAGGAATTAGGACAGAACTCAACGGGATCAGCTTGCCTCTGTACCGTGGTGTCTGATAGCTCAACTGGAAGATGAAAAGGGGATACAATCACCTGAAGGCTCATTTTTTCACATGACTGGGAGTTGATGCTGACTCACAACTAGGGGCATTATTTCTCCTATATGGGGCCATCGAGGTGGTCTTTCTGTTTGGGCTAGTTTGGGCTTCCTCACAGTTTGGTCTCTGTGTTCCAAGGGCAACTATCCTGAGAGAAAGCTAAGTAGAGACTATATTCTTTTTATATCCTAGCCTTGGAGGTCATGTAACATAATCTCTGCCATTTTATATTGGTTGTAGCAATTGCAAGTCCCCATTAAAGTTCAAGTAGAGAGAACATAGACCACTCCTCACAGTGGGAGAAATATTAGTCACATTGTTTTTTTTTAAAAAAGCATGCAGGATAAAACACGTGTGTGTGAGCATGTGTATCTGTGCAGCTGTCTTTGGGAAATGCAATCTGCTACAACAGGGTAAGAATAATAAAGGATAAGTAATAAAGAGGATAAATGGAAGGAAAGTACTATGATGGGATACTTAAATCCAACCATATTAATAATTTCATTAAATATAAATGGACTAAACACTCTAATCAGAAGACAAATGGTCAGACTAATTGAAAAAAGTATTGTGTTTTGTTTCAGGCATCCACTGGGGGTCTTGAAACATCCCACTCGGATATGTTACTCTCTAGCCATATCTAAAGTCTGAACAAAAAAATCATTCCTGATTTAATCACATCCTCAGTTAACCATTTTGTCATTCAGAACCATCTGGTAACTCGCTATTTGAGAAATTTCCACAAATTAAGTACACCAAAGTCCGAAAAGACTTAGCGCCCTACTGGATATTCATAGGTACTCATTTATAAAACTTAAATTAAGGAAATGGCAAGGAAGAAAAATTTCACTTAAAAAATAAAAATAAAAAAACACAACGCACTTTAAGAAATCTACTTTAATTCTAAAAGAGATTATTCCAGAATGAACAGAATCATTTTCTACTATTTCTACTTGCACAGTAAAGCAAACAGGGAAGCATCTTTCTATAACACGCAACACAGACTTTTGTTTCTTTTATAAATATCTAGTTTCCTTATTTGTATATATACTACCTATAATCCTACCTTAGATTTAAGACTACGAACAGGATTAATACATTTTCTTGCCTATGAAGAATAAAGGCCACTTCTGAACACGCAATAGCCTTATATCTTAAACCCACGTTAATTACAGTGTCGGGAGAAGAAAATTTTCATAAATTATTAATGACCTGATTCCATTAAAAAAAAGTTTCAGCAGATGTGAAAAAGAAAATCCTGTTATTTGTTCATTCATGATGCTACGAGGGAAAAAAAAAAAAAAAGCATTCTTCCACAGAAAAAGTGGTTTTAGAGAGCAGTTCTGGCAGTACCTTCAAAGCCTCAGGTCTGCCGGGCAGCCTCCTGGCCAGGTGGAAGGGGCTGCAGTGTGTTCCTCTTCTGGCCTGCTCAGTAACCCCAGGTGATTTTTATATTGGGAGGCAGATTACTGGCAACAAGTTCATCAAATTTAGACCTATCTTGCACAGGCACGTTATAGAAATCAAGAACATCTCTGACCCTGCACATCTCGTGAAGCCTGGAGTTGGGCACCGCGTGGCCCAAGTCGTCGGCTAAACGAGCCAAGAAGCTGAACTTCAGGCGCCCGTCTTCCAGGGAGATGTCCTGCCAGCTGCTAGGGGCGGACGAACCAAGTATTTCTCTGATACGAGCCTCCACACGGCCCTGGAGGTCCTCAGGCGGCGTGTACGTTCGGCTTCGTAACGGGGGACACACCAGGACGGGTTCCTTCTTCGCCTCCTCTACGGTCTCGGCCACCGCCGGCTTTTTCTCTTCTCTGCAATGATCGAGAGCAAGCGCGTGAACCTCTGGCTCCCTGCGCGAATGAAGCCGACAAACAGCACCAGCGCCCGGGCCCCACCGCTCCCGGAGGCGGCGCTGAAGCGGGACTCGGAACCCTCACGCGCTCGTCACTCCCGCATCAGGGTCCCGTCTTCACAGCACCACACTCCCTTCCGAACTCGTCCCTTCGCCTTCCTCAGTTCCTTTCCCTACTTGCCATGACTTTGACCCACCATCTAACCTTTCGCTTTACCTGAATCGAGACCAAAATTCTCGACGTGGGACCCCGGCGAGTACCCACGTGAAGCGCCTGCGGGTAACACCGGACACTGAAATCGCCGCCATCTCTGAGGAGGGCAACGGCACGGAGCTCCGCCCCCTCCCGACAGAGGCGCCCCACGACTAGCCAATCGGGTGTCAGCTTAGTGGCAGATGGTCTCTGTCCCTAGAAAGACACGCCAAGCGGCTCCCTTTGCATGCCGGGAAATGTAGTCCAGTAACCGTTGCGGGCGGAGAATGGACCGCGACGCTCTCTCGGAGCCTGACGGGAGTTGTAGTTCGGGGGGAGTCCCGGGAAGGTTCCGGGTGACGCCTTCTGGTCCGGGGGCGGGCGGTCAGAGCGCTCCTGGGCTGGAAGGAGGAGGAACTGACAACCGGGAGGAGGCTCCAGCGAGGCCTGGAAGGCTACAGGGCCAAGGCACGGAAGGAAGTTCGGGGTTGGGGGGTGGCCAAGGAGCGCTACTGAAATGCTGCTGGGGTCGTGACCGCTCGGGGACCGAGGCAGGACTTGGCCAGACCCAGCCTGGAGGCCTCTCCCTCCTCGGGCCTAATCTCCAACGGTAGGAGAGGCCTCACCAGAAGCTCCTTTCCGTGCGGCTGCCCCAGGTTCCTGCCCAGATTTCTGGCCAGGAGATGGCCTCCCCGAGCCCCCCACTGGAGCCGAAGGTAAGCCGC